GTGGGGGTGGGGGGGTGGTTCTCACTCTTCTGTCTCCAAGGTATTGACTTTAGCTACATAGTTGCTGGGGATGAAGCCTTCTCTCTTGGTTGAAAGAGATTTCGCTTTCCACCACTCTCCATGCCTGAAATAGAAACACACATAGCAAGGTGTTTATATCTAACACTCAGAAGCCATCACAGCTACTGTCCTAAGGTTTTCATTTGTTTTAGGGGTGGGGAGGGCAGGGTAGATCCCCACAACTTCAGCTCCCCTGCGGGAAAACTCACTCTGCCTGTCAAAATATAAATATGTTTAGACGGTTAAGCAAACAAAAAACAGTCTTGCAATTTAAACGTGGCTTACAGGGTTCAAAGAGACCTAAGTTAGTAGAAATAATTCTAATCTTCTAGAAGTAAGATCTTTGCAATTTTTTCCAGGACATCAAAGAAATGCTTTAGGATTCTTACAGCAATGAAAGTCAAGTGAAAAATGGGTTATAATTCACATATTATAAACTCCTTTGTTAGAACTCTTGCCTCTGTCAAGACAGATGTCATGAAAAGGAAAAAATGAAATACTTTCAAACAGTTGGACACAGAACTATGTTCAGGGCCATCAACAAAAGGCCAGGGAAAAGGAGGGGCAGCATTGGGAGGGACCAGCGGACTCAGGATCCTTAACTAGGATTCTCGCCAAATTCCCACTGACAGATGTTACCAAGACACCAAGGACAACCACAACTAACATTCTGAATGAGTAACTGTGGAGACAGCTTCTGGGGATGTTATTAAGGTCAGAATAGAATTATGTTCTGTTTGTTACTGTTCTTATGTGCCGCAGAGTTGACCATGACTCACAGAGACCCTGTTAACCACAGGGTTAACCTTGCCCTATGCTGTCCTGTCCTCGTGCCCTCCGTCATGCTCACGCCTACTGCTGCAGTCACTTTGTCAATCCATCATGTCAAGGGCCTTCCTTTCTTTCTCTAGCCTTGTTTTTCTTTATTCAAGTACTGGTCCCTCCTAACAACTTGCCCAAATCATATGAGATGAAGTTTCACCAGCTTGGCTTCTAACAAACACCCTGGTTGCACTTTCTCCAAGATGGGTTGGTTTGTTCTTTTGACATTCCATGAGATGTTCAATACCCTTTGCTAACACCACAGCTCAGAGGCATTGGCTCTTCTCTGGTCTGCATTCATTTTCCAACTGTCAGAGGCAGAGGAAGCAACTCAAAATACCAAAGCTTGGATGAGGCTCTCCTTAGTCTTTAAATGGGCATCTGTGCTCTTAAAAGTTTTTATAGCAAATATGCCCCTATGCTTCATTGAGTTTTCAAGAGCTGCTATTCAGAAGTGGATGGTCAGACTTTTATTCTGAGGAATCCCTGGGTGGGCTCCAAACTCTCATTTTCTGGTAGCAGTCATGTTTGTTAACTCTCTACACTCAGCTGTTGTTTTTAGGGCTTGTGAGTAGATTGAAATTCAGTGACAGAGCAGAATTGTCCCTCCAAATTTTCCATCTATAATCTTCACAGAACCTCAGTGGCACAGTGGTTAAAGTGCTTAACAGTTAAACAAAAGATCTGCCATTCTCACGGTCTTGGGGGGACATCAAAGTCAAATGTTCTAACATACATGTAAGCCAGTATTACATACAATATTCACATTCTACTTTCATGAGTAAACTGAGGTCTCAAGAGCTTTTGAGCACCAGATTGGTCTCTTCCAATCTGGAACAAAGGCATGGGGGAGGGAAGCAGAGATAAACTGAAATGCTCAGTTGCTCTTGTTGATGTTAATTAATTGCCACTGAGTTGAGCACGACTTACAGCGATCCTAAGAACCATAGACATGAACTCTGTCCTATCTTAACCCTCTGCGCCCGCCTCACCATCACTGATACACGTGATCCCACTGCTGCAGCCACCGTGTCAATCCAGCTAGTTGAGGGTCTTCTTCTCTTTTGTTGACCTTCCATCTTTCCAAGGATGGTGTATTTTTCCAAGGAATAGTCTCCTAACAACCTGCCCAAAGTATATGAGACAAAGATTCACCATGCTTGCCTCCAAGCAGCACTCTGGTTGCACTTTCCCCCCAAGATGTGTGTGTGTTCTTTTGACAATCTATGGGACACTCAGAACTCTTCTCCGACACCACAACTCAAAGGCATCAGACCTTCTTCTGTTATCCTTATTCATTGTCCAGCTCTCAGATGCACAGCAGGTGATTAAAAAGACCATGGTTTGAAACAGGTGCACCTTAGTCTTTAAGCTGACATCATTGCTTTTCAGTACTTTGGAGAGATCCTTGACAGCTGACTTTCCCAGTGCAATACAACTTTTGATTTCTTGACTGCTGGCATTGATGGTGCTGACTGTGGATCCAAGCAAAGTAAAATCATTGACAACTCTAATCTTTTCTCCATTGATCATGTTACCTATTGGCCCAGTGGTGAGATCTTTGTTTTCTTGATATTGAGATATAATCTATGTCGCACACATAGCCTTTGATCATCTCCAACAAATGTTTCACGTACTTTTCACTTTCAGCAAGCAAATATGTCATCTGCATAATGAAGATGATGATTCTACCTCTGACCCTGCTACCACATTCTTCCTCATAAAGTCCAGCTTCTTGAATGATCAGTTCAGCAGACAGAACAGGAATGGTGAGAGCAGACAGTCTTGACTCTTCAGCACACTTCTCTTGATTTTAAACCATGCAGTGTTTCCTTGCTTTGGTCAGACAACAGATTTCTGGGCCAGTTATAGGTTTCATTTAAGCACAATTTAGTGTTCGGGTATTCCCACTCTCCTCAATGTTAGTCATTGTTTGTTATGGTCGACACAGTCAAATGCATAGTAAATTAAACACAAATATACATTCTCCTGGTATTCTCTGCTTTTAGCCAAGATCCATCTGACATCAGCAACGATATCCCTGGGGGTTAGTGTAAAGTCACAGAAACTTCACAGCCCTGAGAGTTGGAGAACCAGATGGTGGCTGGCCACCACTCATGCTCACTCTAAAAGGAATCACCATAGACTAGAATCTTGAATAGAGTAGTAGGAAGTGTGGAACAAAACTCGAAAACATAAAAAGGCCAACCTGACAGGTCCAACAGAGATTAGTGGAACTTTTGAGACTATTAACAATCGTCACCCTTTGAACCTGGACTAACACTCATTCTTCCTCAAAAAAAAAAAATACCACCACCAAATAAAAAAAAAACAAACAAAAAAACCACCTCATTCTTCCATGGCTCAATGTCCACCCCAAAATAGGCAGGCCTTTAAGGTAACCAATAGCACCAGGGTGGCACTCAGAATAACCAACCACATCAGGTCAAAAGAGAAGCATTGCCTGTGAGTAAAGTCCTGAAGGCAGGAGGGAACAGGATAGGAGAATTAGTGGAAATTACAGTGGGGAAGCAGCAAAGTTCGATTACACTGAGGATACTGTAATTAATTTATTAAACAAAATATGCATAAGTGGTTGAAAGAAAAATCAATGTGCTTTGTAAACTTTCATTCAAATCATACATACAAACACACATACACACAAGCTGTGGTGACCTAGTGGTAAGGAGTTGTGTTGCCAACCCAAAGGCACTTTGGTTTGGTTTGAATCCACCAGCTGCTTTGGAGAAAGTTGGGCAATTTCCTACTGTGAGATTTACAGCCTCTGAAAAACTCATTGGAGGGTCAGCTATTCTGACTCAGTGGCACATAACAACACACACACACACACACACACACACACACACACACACACATTCTGCAGTTTGAACCTACCAGCTGCTCTTTGGGAGGATGATGTGACCATTTGTTTCTCTGAAGATTTACAGCCTTGGAACTCTGTGGCATAGCTCTCTACTCTCCCCAGCGTGCTGTGAGTAGGAATTGACTAAGTGGAAGTGGGGGTTTTTGTTTGTTTTGGTTAATTTTTTTGAGAGCACATTGACAATCTTTCTCCCAAGGAGTCACTGGGTTCAAACCGCCAACCTTTAGGTGAGCAGTCAAGTGCTTAACCATTGAGCCACTAGTTCTCCTTAGCACTTAGCTACCAGCCACAGTCTACCAAGTCATTCAGTCACTTTGGTGAGTCCTATGGGCAAATGCATTGTTGTCAAGCCAGAACTGACTCACAGCTGACCTTCTGATAGGTTTCCAAGACTAAGACTATAATTCTTGGAGGAAACAGCCCATTTTTCTTCCTCAGAGCTGCTGGCAGGATTCAAACTCCCAGAGCAGCAAGACCTTTGGGTTAGCAGCACAACTCCCTATAGATGGTGCCACCAGAGCTCCCAAAGCCTCCCATTCCCTGTCTGACTGTACAATAGCCCCTTGCTAAGTAGTCTTACAATTGTATATCTATATTCATGACTATAGGCATATACACACTTAATAGATCAATGCCGTGAAAAGGTATTGTCATTTCCAGTGTATAAGTGAAGAAAACACAGTCTAGAATTTAAGTGGTTGATCAGGGGTACACAGGTAGTAAGCAGCAGGACTGTGATGAGACTTAAACTCATGTTGGATCTGTAAACTACAGTGTTTGCGGCCACTCCACACCTCCGTACCTTCTTGTACATGGGTCTCCTCTAACCCAGCTTGGCAGGCTAGGGTGAAAAAGTATGCAATAGGGGAAGAAAGCTGGAATCAAAATACTTGGAGTTCTTGATTCTGAATCTCACCCTGAGCCTGGAGCGGGACAACTGCTGGCTGTTTCAGTTGGCAGAGGGGATGCATGATGTGACATCACGCGCAACACCACAGAAGAGCTGCGGCAACCCCTCAGCTCTCCAGCACTCCGTGTCTTGTCCGCTACCCCTGCTGCCTGCCCTGATGCCCGTCCCCGTGCTGATACTCCCTTGCCTGTCCAATCCTCCCTGGCATGTCCTATACCCCTGCTGCCCATCCCAATGCTGATAACTCCCTGCCTATCCAACACTCTCTGGCCTGATTCCTCTGCTGCTTGTCCTGATGCCTGTCCCCGTCCTGATACTCCCCTGCCTGTCCAATATACCCCCGCATTTTTGATACCTTGGCTGTCTGTTCAATATTTCCCCACCAGTCGAGTACCCTCCTCTCTGTCCAATACTCCTCTATATTTCTGATACCCTGGCTATGTGTTTGTTCGTCTAGTACCCCTTTCCTTTCCCAAACCCCAGCTGCTCTACTCTGCCCTCATACATCAGATCAAGTGGTACCCATAAACTCAATTTGAATCTGAACCAAATAAGTTTAAAACGGAATTTAAATTTGCTTAATTCACAATTTAAGATTTAAATGTAAAATGCAATTTCCACCCAGAATGCCTCTGGTCCCATAAAGCGGCACGGCTGACTAAACATGAATCCTTCCAAGGGAAAACTCCGTAGTGCTCACAGCCTGTGTGAAAAGATCCATTTCCCTGACCTGTGCCTCCACTCCAGAGCTGTGCTGGCAACATGGAGCCAGGAGCTCAGTGTCCACAGTCAGGAGGGCCTGGCCAATACCACATTCCTGAAAGCTCCAGCAGGGAGCCGCCAGGACAGCAGTGTCCCCAGAAACAAGCCAGCCATGGTAGGGCATGCGGGGTCACTTACTCCTCCAGGACTTTCATCTTTTCCCCTTTTTTGAAGGATAAGTCATCTGGATGGATGCCATCATAGGGGTACAAGGCTATCACAATGTCTCCTTGCTCCTCTGGATCTGAAACGAAGATAACAAGCCAGACTCTTTAAGAATCCATCAGGAGAGATGTTTTAAAAATCCTCATGAGACCTAAGAATGAGAGGAAGCAGGGGTGGAGTTGCAGCTGGAGCCGTGGCACAATCATACATGGTGGGGCACAGGCTGATGCAGTCACAGTAAACCACCCCCGGGCACTGCACAGTTGGTGAACTCAAAACACAAGCACCCCAATTATAACGTGTTCATCTCTGCACTCAAAAATGAAAATGTCCAAGACAGAACTGGATAGGAGCTCTAAGAAATAAAAAGACTACTATGAAAACATACCTTTAGTTTGAAACCTCTGTCCTGGCAAAAGCTGAGATTCTGGGACCTATGAGAGAACATTTGTTAGGGAAAAAAAAAAAAGAAAGAAAGAAAAGATTAGGCTTAACTTTTCTTGCTCACAGTCATGCTATAAGTGACATCAATCTTGTAACAATGACAAATGAGGTGTGTTTGCTGAGTGAGTGCGCTGTAAGGAAGAAGTGCATGGAAGGACAGACACAGCTCTTAATCAGTTCTTTCTTCTGAAAGCCAGCAATGGCCCGCAAGGACAGGAAGGGACTGGGATTCTGGGCAGAGGCAGCCAGATGCCTACCCAAACACAATTTCTCCCTCTTCTTTGGAAAGAGAGAGTATCCTAATATTATTTGGGGTGGCGACTTGCCCAGCTGGTTATGTTTCAAATTTTCTAGTCTCCTATGCACAGAGGGAGAGGAAACTCTTCCCTATGTGTCTACAGAAACTCACAGGCAAATATGGCTGTGTGGGGTTTATGGAAAGCTCCCTTTTTCTCTTTCTTCACTCTGGTGGTATAGTTTTTAGGTTGGAGTGCTAACTCAAATCTACCATAAGCTCTACAGGGAAAAGACAGGCTATCTCCTCCCATGGGATTTATAGCCTCTGAAACCCAGCGGAGGGTCAGGGGTACATCGGTTTCAACTCCAAGGCAGATAACCTTCTTATTGCAGCCTTGAACCATGTGGGGGTGGAGTCCCAGCATCTGGGGAGCTATACCCACAACAGGCAGAAGAAGGCAGGGTTGACTAGGTGACCAAGACCCTGTACTGCCCATCTCCATGATGTCTAGGCCTATTAAAAATTGTAGCTTCTGTGCATTTAGCTGGGAGCCGACTTATCATAAAAAGTCACCTTCATCACTTTAAAATAAAATGTCTTTTCTCTCAGTCACTGTGGCATAGATACATAAAACATATAATGCCTTTCTTAAGAAAATGTAGAAGTGACACGGAATTTTTTGTTTCTCTTGACTCAAGTGATTTAATGGCATAGAACCAAAAGAGTGTATAATGTAATTTCAATTTCTGGTGAAAATCAGCCCATAAGATCTCCAATTCAGTTGTCACAGAGGCGAGGTGACGGTGGGAGAGAAGATGACGCTTGGGTGTCAGAAAATCCAGGGGTCCACACGATCCTACAGTATTTAATTCAGTAAATTTATTAAAAAATTATTTTAAAAATCATATAGATTGGCATAATCAGGACCTATGATCTGTTTTATGCGATTTAGAGGGCATAATTAGAAGGTTTTAAACTAATTAAATAATTTTGAAAGCAGTAAACTAAATTTTAAGAAGCAACAAGCCTAATTTATAATATGCTGTATGTAAGAACAAACACAGATGCACAGCTCACATACCTTTACTCTTCTTCTCTTGAAAATGTCTGCTGAGTTTGCATTAATTAAAGCCCAGTCTTTCCTTTGAGTCTCTCTGTAATCCCTGACATGTATTTTCCGCATGTTTGGCAGCTCGGAGAATGGCATTTACGGCCATGGACCTGGTCAGGCTGAGCGTGTTACCTACTGCCATAGAATAAGGAGGAGCATATGGCCATGGAGGACACTAAGACATTTATGGCACCACACAAGGAACTGGACAACTTAAAATACTGTGACTACTTCTGCTTCCTAATATTTCTATTTTCTTTTCATTTCTTAGTCTATGATCTCATGATTGAAGAAGAAAAAAGTGGAATGTGAGTGTGCAACTTTGCTTTTCAGAGAAAAGGACATCTTTATTCACAGGTGAATGAAAAACAGCTTGGATTTTAGCACATGGTACTATGGAAGGCACAACCATGCCCATTTTGAGAACTTTGAACTCCATAATAAAAAAAATATTTATGCTCCCTACTCCTTTTTCTTCTTTAATTTCCTTTTAGTTATATTTATACAAAATCTAATTCTACATTTATATATAGTTATGTATATTTTAAAATATTTTATACATCTTTATTATTGTGATTAAAGCTACAATAACCTATTTTTTTTTCATTTCCCATCATATCAGATCTAACTGGCACAGAAGGAGTTTGCCCTTCCTTCTCCAGCAAAGCATCTGGTCGATTCAAACCACACTTTCAGGATTGCAGTGCAGTTTTTTGCCACTTGGTCACCAGGGCTCCCTATGATTAAAGCTACTAATAATCTATTAATAACACTTTGAGTTTCTGTATCTTCTGTATATAAAGTTATAATATTAATTTCTTTATCCAGAAACATTATATATGATAACTTGTTTGTAAGAAGGTCACTCTGACTTACACAATGACATGTGACTTTTGCATAGGAAGGCTAGGCTTTATCTGCAAAATGATGAGATAAGGTGGAGGGAACAGAGTGGCAGAAGCTCTTAAAAAAGGCATTTGAGGTAACTCACAATAAATGTTTGGCAGCTTAAAAGCTGCATGCCACAAAAAAATCTAAGTTGAGGGAGGATACATGTAATTGAGAGGACATATGGAAACAAGTATATTTTAGTTTAAAATTATCCAAGCTCTTTTTCTCCTTCACATGACACAGAGTTCTTTCTTTGCCACACATTTCTCAAATGCACTGAATTGCACATACAAAATTTCAGATGCAGTTATTTATACAAGGCTAAGGAGCAGTGTCTGTTCTTAGTTTTTTACTACCAGCCATAACAACTTTAATATCTGTACTATTTAAAATTAATGAAGAAAATGGCTAGATGGATTAGTATGATATCTCAAAGGACATATCAGCACATCATTTTAAATCCATTTCCTTTTGTTCTCAGACAGCCCTTGCTAATCTCACTACTTCTCCTAAATGACAAAACCCCCTTTTTTGGCACTAATGATAAGAGAGATTCTGTTAGTCTTACCATGTAAGACTTAGGTGACCAAAAGCTTCACTATTGCACAATAAATTGCCCTGATATCACTAAAATGCTTAAAAACTTCCAAGGATTAAGTTGCAAGAATATCAAACGTAATTTAAGGCCCAAGTAACAAATGTCATACTTTGCATGCACGTGTCACAGATTGGTTTTTAGATTACGGCAGCCATGCTTTGATCCTGCTGTTGATTTCTCTCCTGAGACTATCTACTTACGGGCCTTTGCTGTTTACTGGACGTTGGATCTCTCACATAAATAGTTCGGTCAGTATTACGTACTGGTTGGGTCTTCAAATCTACTCCTTCGTCATTCAGATTGTTTTTCCTTTTTGATTTTATACATCCCATATTTCCTGTGGGAATAGAAAAAGATGACATTTTTACCATTTGAGAACTGGCCTTAACACCAAAATCTCTTCTTTAAATCAAGAAGCCCGGGCAGTGCAGCACGTCATGTGCCGGTCTGCTAACCCAAAGGCCGAGGTTCAAACACACCAGCCTCCATGGGAGAAAAATGGGCAGTCTCCTTCCATTCTCCTCACATCAAAATCTCTCTGTTAAGGAAGAATAAAGATGATACACTTATCTTATTCTTTATCTTACATGAATTAGCAAATTGAAGTGTGGATACAATTTATATAATTAGACAGCGTTCATTCAACAAGTAAGTAATACTCATTCAATAAGTATTTTATTAAATTATCAGTTTTATACCAGTGAAATATAATTTCTGTTCTAAAGAAAGTATATTAATTAAAATTAGAATACAAAATTTTGGGAAGATGGGAGCATAAACGAATCACACAAGCTTCTCTCACAAATACAAAGGGATGAGGCTCAGCTATGAGGGACTCTGAATTGGGGAAACCGAGTGTATAAGCAAGGAGTTGTAGACAGCTAAGAATCATTAGGTCAGCAACTTGCATCCAGTAGGAAGCTCATCTCTCCCCCAGCCACGCAGGCTGACAGCTGCTATGACTGTGTGATAGCCCAGAAGAGTGTGCTTTCCTCATGACCACAAGCCCTGTCTGTACAGACAGGATCTCAAACTTCTGCTCTAAACCCAACAAGGCTGACCTCATCACTGGTCCATTTGAGCAGTGCTAGCACCTCCTAACACCCTAATACGGTCAGCTGCAAGCCTGCATAGCATTGCTACAAAAAGCCCAAGAAGCGGAGTCTGCTCTTACAGCCAACACTCTACTTGCCTTCCTGTGCACCTTGGAAAGAGGGCTCTAAAACCAACAAGATGGACCTTGCAGGGAAACAGTTCTGGTCTATCTTCCTCCTCCTGCACTAATGATTAAACTGCTGTGTGTGAAGAAGCAGACATCTTTAGTGGAAGTGCCACTCACACCAACACTTTACAGGGAGGGCTCTCTGCTAGCAACAAGGATATCAACCATTTGGATTGCACCAGCACCTCCTCAATCCAGACACTGTCAGTTGCAAGCCTACTGCAAATTGCTAAAGAAAGTCCCTGCTATGGCGTCTTCTCCCATAGTAAATATTATATCCCACAGCTTAGGCTTCTAAAACCATCAGGCTAGGTATCCTGGAAGTAGATCAGGTTTGTCTACTCTCCCTTTTGATTAGTGTTGAGCACTGCTGTGTGATAAAAGAAGATATCTTTTGTGGAGAAAGCCTCACAGGATTCTCTAGAGTCAATTTAGAACAGAGCAGCCTCTCTCACATGCCAACACTGTCACAGGCAAAACTTGTAAATTGCTACAGGATGGCCCCTCATCATAGTCTGTTCCCAGAGGCAGACATGTACCTGGTCCCCTGCACAACCCAAAGCTCTGGCCTCTGAAACCAATAGGACAAATGTCCCTGAGGGTCATCTATAGCCTTACCTCAATCCAGTTAATCCAAAAGAGCATGGTCCTTGGTGACCTAACTGACTGAGATTGATTGTTGTTGTTATATGCCATTGAGTCATAACTGATTCATAGCTGACCCTCCAGTGGGTTCTCCGAGGCAGTTAATCACAAGGGAAGAGATTGTCCATTTTCTCCCACAAAGCAGCTGGTGGATTCAAACCATGTGTTTTTGAGATTGCAGTACAACTTCTTACCACAGAACTCCTTAGGTGATTGTAGTTTTTCTGTGCCACTCAGTCAGAACTGACTCATATCTGACCCTCTAGCAGGTTTTCAAAGGCAGCAAATGGCCTGGGAGGAGATTGCCCATTCTCCCGCAGAACAGCTGGTGGATCTGAACTGGGAGCATTTGGATTATAGCAGTACTGTATTTTGTGTGATTGATGTTAACTGCTGGTGGATCAACTGACCACATAGATTTCTGGGAGAGACTGAAGGTCTTCAAAAATTCTTACTGATTAAAAGAATATATTTTCTCTGACAAGAATGAAGTGAAGTTAAAAATCAATAACTCGACTCAATCAAATTTATTTGCTTCATGGGAAAGGACTCTTAGTCTTTCTTCTGCAGAGCTGCTGGCAGATTCGAACTGTCAGAGAAGGGCAACCTTTGGGTTACAGTGCAACTCACAATGGACTAATCCACCAGAGCTCCCTAGAAATCAATACCAGGAAGAAAGAAACCCAGGAAAATATACAAACATATAAAAATGAAACAACATGCTATTACAATACAGGGAGCTCTGGTGGTATAGTTTGTAGTGAGCAGTTTGATTCCACCAGTGGCTCCACGGGGGAAAGATGAACAATCTCCTCCTTTGTGATTTACAGCCTCCATAACACACTAGGGTCAGATAAAGTCAGTTCTGAGTCTATGAACTTTTGAATATTAAACCACAAACATGTAAAGAAAGAATTAAAAAGAAATTTCAAATTTCTTAGAGTCAAATGAAAACGAAAACATTCTATATGGACACTGTGAAGGCAGAATTTGGAGAGAAAGTTACAGTAATTCATACCTACATTTTTTAAAAAAGTTAGAAGGAGAAGAAAGATCTCAAATTAACAGCCTAACTCAACAATGCCAGAAACTAGAAAGCGAAGAAGAAAGTAAGCCTAAAACTACTAGAAGAAAGGATATAACAAAGATAGCTCTATCTATAAGTAAATAAAATTAACAACAAATACAGTAAAGGGAATTTTTTTTAAACTGGACATGCTTCTTTAAGATGAATAAAATTGGCATTCCTTTATGTAGACTGAAAAAAGAGGGAAAAATATAAATAGTCAAAATAAAAAGGAAAGAGAAAATAATACAAGTAATAAAAGTAAAGATAATTATGAAAGAATATTATAAACAATATGGATAACTTAGATCATAGGGACATATCCCTAGAAGCACACAACCTATCGAAACTGACTCAATAAGAAATAGAAAGTTTTAACAGATTCATAAAAATGAAATGACTGAATCAGTGACAACAACAACAACAACAAAAAATCTTGGACCAGAAGGCTTCACAGAGGAATTAAAAATGCTACAAAAAATTTAGAAAATAATTGACATAAGTACCTTTAAATTCTTCCGAAAGATAAAGAAAAAAATTCCACATTAATTCATCATATGAAGCCAGTAATACTAAAATGTGACACAAAGACATCACAAAAAAGAAAACTAGCAGCCAATCTGTACGAATATAGAAAAAAAAATCCTGAATAAAATTCTATCAAATACAAACATATATTAACACCATGCCCAAGAGGAATTTATTTCAGAAATGTAGAGATGATTTAACATTTTATAAAACCAATCAGTGTAATGCATATCATCAAATTAACAGTGCTTGCACTTACCATTTCCATTCAATATTATATAAGAAGTCCTACTCAGGGCAAAAATACAAGAAAAAGAAATAAAAGGTATGTAAACTGGAAAAGAAAAGGTAAAATTCTCTCTATTCACAAATGATATCATCCTACATAAAGAAAATCCCAAAGAGTTCACAAGGAAACTTCCAAAATTTCAGACTAATTTAGCAAAGTTATAAGACACAAGGTCAGCTGGGTCTTAATGTAACATCAGTGAGGAATCAGAAAGATAATTTAGAGAAATAATTCTATTTACACCAGAATAAAAGAAAAGAAAATGCTTAGGAATAAACAGAATTAGGGACATAAAGGACTGATATAATGTAAACTACAGAACCCAACTGAAAAAGTTTAAAGAAAACTTAAACAGAAAAAACATTCCATATCCATGGGTTTAAAGACAATATAATTAAGATACCAATATTACCCAAAGTAATCTATAATTCAATGCAATCTCAATAAAAAGTCTTATCAGTTGCCTTAACAGAAAAGGAAAAATCCAACCCTTAGTTTTATAAAAAATGTCAAGAGGTTGCATCTTGATTTTAAAATACGCTATAAAAGAAAATATACTATGTTGTTGTGATTGGGAGCTCTAGTGGCCTAGAGGAAAGGAGCTATGCTGCAATCCCAAAGGCATGAGGTTTGAATCCAACAGCTGTTCCATGGAAGGCTGGATCATCTCCTTCCTTGTGATTTCTTGCCTCTGAAAACCCACTGGAGGGTCAGATATGGGTCGGTTCCAATTTGATGGCACACAATAACAACAACAAAATGGCTCTGTATTGGTATAATAAAAGACAAACACACCAGTAGAATAAGGATGAATGCCCAGAAATAAATCTATACATCCTAAGTCAGCGGGATTTTTTAAAAGACTGCTAGGCTCACTTAATGGCAAAAGAAAAATCTCTTCAAAAAATGGCACTGGAAAAACTGGATTTTCACATGTAGAATAATGAACAGGATCCATACGTCATATCCAGATAATTGGTCTAATAATGTGTTTGTTTCTGTTGTACTTCCTAGTTTACTGCATAGTTCCTGGGATCTTAAAATTAGCCATCCAAGACACTATAATTGGCATCTATTCACTTGGAGCAGGGAGCTCTGGTGGTGTAGTGGCAAGAAGCTGCTCTGCATTCACGAAGGTACTCAGTTCAAATCCACTAGCTGCTTTGAGGGAGAGGGATGAGCAATTCCTCCCGTGTGATTAACTGCCTCTGAAAACCCACTGTAGGGTCAGCTATGGATTGGTTCTTACTTGAGTATACACAACAACAGCAACAACAATTCACTTGGAGCAATAGAGGGAAGAGAGTCAGGACTTTATAACTATGTAAAGACTGTGGCTAATTAGCCTTCATGAACAGCTGCCTCTTTTGCCACAAGACCAGAAGAACTGGATGACAATGGCTTCCATTATTGAGCTTTCTGATCAAATATTCCATAGACAAATTCTGATCAAAAGGAGTAAAATGAAGAATATAGATTCAAATTCTCATGGACTCTAGACTTTCTGGAACCATGGAGGACATGTACAATAGATCTTACCTGGAATAATCCTTAAAATTTAAACCACAAATAGTCACTTAAATAATC